CTTTGATATATTAGCAAAAGGTCGGACAGATACACATTGCAAGATAAAAGAGACTCTGCTAATAAGGGAATTAAAACCCGCCCTAAATGATAATGTAAGGAGCGAAAAGCTTTATCTTTATTAGTTTGCATTGTTTATATGCAAATTTTTCTCAGCCTCTGTCATTGTTATCGTTAATTAGTTACTTATTTTAAATTGAAATTTAGTTGTTACTTCTATTCCTAACGGTCACTTCTGAACATGTATGTTGAAACTTACGAAACGTCAAGTAAATGAACTTTGTTTTTTAACATGCGTTTTATTGCCATGTTTATCACCGCAGTTTGCGTGTTATTTCCAATTACTATTACTAATTCACGAGGTAAGTATTAGAAGAGGCCAGAGCAACTTAGACATTGAATTTTTTTTTTAGCTGCGAAGAAAAAGACGATTATCGTGTCGTTTCGGTGGGACAGTTCGGTTAACGTTTTAATTGACTGTCGCTCTTATTGCGCGCGCAAGCACTGTCTGCAAGATGTACCACGTGTTCACATAGAAACCTCCAAACTGGCGAGGGGTACAGAAAACTTGACTTTTTGACTAGAGCGCAAGTACTTCGCATCAACACACGCATTTTTCTTTTGACTTTAAAAAAGTATAGGCACGCAAGGCGTGTAAGATTTATTTTTTGTTGTTGAGTGAATTAAAGTTTGCACTGCTAAACGGAATCGTCAGTCCAACAAGTTTGTTTTGTTATGATGTAAAGAAGAGAAAACAGATTTAGAATTTATCTCGTACCCACAATAGTTAAGCAGGAAGTAAGCCTTGAGTTTTATTAAAAAATGTTAGGTTGGCTGGTTAAGATTAATTTTGCCAGGAAAAAAAAAAACCTAATGAAACTTCTGATATAAAGCCTGCTATTATTCTCTGGTCTTTATTTTAACAATTCAGTAGCTTTGTCTGCGAAAATACTGTACTATTCTCAGCAAGACATGAAACAGTAGACAGATTAACACGTAACACATACTGCGTACGGCAAACGGTAAACGGCAAATTGCTGTTGATTCTGGGACATTTTCCCTGGACTCACTAACGCACCAACACGGTTATATCCTGTCACCACCATTGTTCACGGTTTCTTCAGAGCCTTCTAAGCGCCGTTTTGGGAGGCAAGGAAGTCATTTAAAGAAAAAGGTTTGTCACTTAATGAGAGATAAGTTTAACTTTGTTGTAACCGCGCAAGGAATCAGCACTGCTTGACAAAACCAAAAACCACTGCATCGCCTCAAAGTCTAAAGCCCTGGTCAAACGGACTCGCAAGTAGTCGCAAGTAGCCACAAGTTGAACTTGCGTAGAGACTTGCGTTGGGTGGCCAAACGGACTCGCAAGTTTTCTCACAAGTACACGCAAGTCGCAAAAAAAAAAAAAAACATTTTAGGCAGACATTTCCTGTATTTCATTGGCTAATGATATGTTAATGGACGTCACTCAACTTGCGTTGACTTGGGTTGGGTGGCCAAACGGTGAAAAACTTGCGTCGACTTGCGTGCAAATTTGATCTCGACCAAAGTGAGCGCAAGTCATCGCAAGTCAACGCAAGCGCCCGCAAGGCCTGATCAAACGGAGTCGCAAGTAGACGCAAGTTGAGAACTTGCGTCTACTTGCGAGTCCGTTTGGCCAGGGCTTAATTGAATCAATTTGTTGTTTTAAAATGTTTACTATGCGAAACGCAAAGCCTTGATCACATGATAGAATATGCCACTATGATTATTCGACTGATTCTCAAATTCTAAACTATTTTGAAACCCACCCACAAAGTCTTCGACCTAACTCACACAAAACGCGACAGCATTAGCAACGGTTCAAATAAGGCCAATACATGAATACATGCTCCTGTTTATAGAACGACAAAGATGGCCGTTCTAATATCCGGATGAAATCTTCTCACATGCAATGAACCTTTACAAGCACCAGTTTGATTGTTTTTTATAGTAGCCTTCTGATTCCGATTCTGATTCGTGTGACGTGACATATCCAAAGATCCACCCATCCACTAATCCACTCATGCACTTATCCAGTCATCAAAAAGTCCAGACCCGACGACTAAGAGGTGCTGATATCTTAATAGCTATTGCACTCTTAATGACTAAAATGACGTCGCACTTCGTAGTACCAGACAAAGTTTAAAAAAACCACACACACACTTCGTGATAACATAGGCACGCAAGACGTGCAAGAGTTATTTTTTTCTGTGAAGTTTTGTAGATAGAAGCATTCATGGTACAGTAATGATTTGGTTAATTTGACAAGTTCTTTTGGTTGCGATGTTACATCGGTCATGGTAAGATAGCTAAATAGTAAGCCATAAAATGTTTGACTGAACAAACTACAGTAATCTGACATGTCTCCAGATCAATGTAGTTATCATCTTATTTTCTAACGGGCAATTTGATTC